AAATTTATTGGACGAATTGGCATACTGGTACTCTACCAGTTTCATGAAATTCATCTTTATTTCTGCAGGTGCAGGGTACAATGCAAATTATGGGAATCCTGAACCTGGTTATGCAGCAAATTACTATCTTGCTAGTTACGGAGTGAACCCTATGAACCCTGCTCATCCTGTAAGTTATTCTCTATTGTGCATTTGGTGTTGATGGGATGAAAAAGTGTGCAGAAGGATAGAATCTTTTGCTCTTGTTCATCTGAAGCATTTTTCCTTTTAGTACTTTTTTTTTCTAAGTTTAGTTTATTTTGTATTTTAGGTGCAGGGTGGTGCTGAAGGTTATTCTCAATATGGACATGCACCTGGTGCTTGGGGTGGTTATGATGTGCAGCGAGCTCAAGGACCCAGATAAACTAGTTCATGTAGGCTGCGTTTTGCTACTTTGTGGTACTTTAAAATGTAACTCAGGATTAGATTTGAAATTTTATCCTGAATGATTTTTTGGAGAAACAAATTTTCTTACCGAGATTATTTTTAGTGTAGTTGCTGCATTGCTACGTGTGAGAAAAGTTTTAGGTGTCTGGTTGGTTTTTCTAATGTCTGCTTTATCTAAGCTAGATAGTTGTCTGGAAATTTCTGCGAGTTAAGTTTTTGATGTGTAGTTCCTTGAACTTTAGCCTCGTATTCACTTTTAAAGAAAAGTAATTTTACCTCTCTTTATTACATTGCACTATTAGAGCTATCTTTCTTTTATCAGATTCAAAAGCATGTGAAACCTCTGGAGAAAAATTATCTGGTTTCTCCTGAATGCAATGGGAAATAAAAAATTTCATTTGTTTTTACTGATTCCAGAAAATGGGAAAGAGAGTTTTCTTTTGTTGTGAAAGATGATGAAGTCACTTTATCGAATATAAAGGTTCATTTGTTGTGTTGGTTGTCTGTTACGTCTAAAAGTGGGTGAGCATTTTTTTATGAGGATCACTTAAAAAGCTTCCCAGAACTTTCTAGTTTCTAGTACTGCTTGTCGACATTACAGGGTACATCATTGGTTTTATCATTTATGTTAAATTTCGCTAAGTTAGTTCCTCCTTGTTTCATGGATCCTAGAGGGCATGTAACGGTTGCTGTCTTATGTGTGAGCTGTCTTTCACGTAATATTTTTTTGGGGGTGNTTATTTTAGCAGTTTCCATGTGCCTTTACTTTTAAAAACTTATCTGGGGTTCTGGTTTTCGACTTTAACAGTCATTGAAGTACTTGGGGCTTAAAGTCTGCTTGCAAATTTTTCTACAACCACTTATTCTTGCACTCTGTCTGTGTATCAAAGTTGACTATGTAAAGACTTCCACTCTGCCGTGTTTTTGTTTTGTGTGCTGAAAATAACCTTAGTCCCAAAGTGTTGTATAAGGTTACACTGTGGATTTAGGTAACAAACTTTTATGTCGAGTTGTGTGATAAATGTTTTTTTCTTGGCATTGGCTGACTGAACGTTGTACAAAGATTTGTTTCCACCTCAGAAGTTCTTTAGGTCCAATTTTGATTTATATCCTTACAATAGTTGATGTTTTCAGTATGTATGATGTATGAATTGTGGTGTAGATGCTTTAATATTCCCCTTTCATTGGTATAAACTCTTCTTGCTAATTTTTAGTACCCGTGCGTTGTCATTTATATTCTAATGCTCTTCTTTATTTCCAGGTTACAACCAATGTCTAAATGAGTTAATGCCCGACACTTGAGCATGAGATTTTGGGTGAGTTTTTATTCAAAGTTTTAGGTTTTATTTGGTAAAATACAAAATGTTTTCCTCGATGAAGTAATTGTGAGTATTGACTGTCTTAAACATTCTATAACGGTTTCCTCAAGGAAAATATTGACAGCAACTGTGGTAAAAAGACCCATACAAGGGGCTAAGTTATTTTGTTCAATTTTTTTTCTGATAAGCTAAGGTAATTCTGTCAACATCTAGTGCCAAGAAGGTACTATAAAAGTATAATAGGAAAAGTGTAAGTTCTCTGCTAAAACTCCTGCATTAGAGAATCCAAAAGTTCTAAAAGGTATGCTGAGTTTTCCAGCATATTACCCTTACACCAAAAGTGTAAATATTGTGAACATCTATACTTGACAAAAGAAATATGTTGCTTCTTTCCTTCAAACAGGTAACTCATCCTCCAAGTTTCCTATATCGGCCCTCCATCTCTCCAGAACTTAGTACTCTTTTCATTATCCACCTACAATTTCATATTTTGCTGATATAACCCCCTCCCAGTTTACAGATTTGCTTCCACACTGCAACTTTTATCGGGCATAAGCACTGGCACCAACAATACTTTTTACCATATTTAATGATAATTACCTCCTGCCAGAGTTCCTCACTATTCTCATTCAATCTCCATTACCATTTGTATAAAAGGCTCTTGTTATAAGATTTTTGATTCCCGCCCCACCTGTTTTTGCTCTTGATCACAGTTTGCCAGTTTACTAGGTGCATCATTCTTTTATTAAGTTCCCTCATTGCTTCATTTTTTGTTCTCCTGCTCCATTAACGATCCACTAATATGTAAATGTTACTTTCACTTTACCCTTCATAACAAATGACCATAACTAAGCACCAGCCTCAGTGCCATATCCTCACCCTTCATCATAATTATGCGCCATTGGCCTTTGCTTCTAACCAAACTCTGGAAGCTAACTTCAAGAAAATATTTTCTTCTGTGTGCACTTCCCAAAGAAGTTTCTTTTATGGAGAACATATTAAGTCATGCCAAATAGGTCTGCAATTGCAAAGTCATAGCTTGCAGAAATTGGTCGAGTTGTCTTCTCAATATAGTATCATTCATTTTTTTCAAATAACTTTAGAAAACCCATGGCAAGAAAGGAACATCTAATGTAAGTCAGCGTACTAACATTATTAAGAGTTAATGCCAACTAGTTGTGTTGCATATATGTGTCTTTTGCTTCCGTTGTATTATGTTCTTCCCTAAATCTGCATGGATTCTCATATTTGGCAATTTACTTGAGGCAACTTCCATCTTATCTGGTTTTTTCTCTTTCAAAATGATCTTAAATAAGTCACCTGCTTTTGATTGTAATTTAATCATGAATTCAAGATATCATGCTTCCCTTTGCGAGACATTGTTTTTGAGAAGACCTTAATTATCAGCTCACTTGCATCAGCCCTCGAGATAACTTGAAGTGGAAAATGCAAGAGTCTAGGTACCTAATTATGGACAGAATTGTTGGTTCTCCATATTATCTAAAAAGTTATTTGTTCTATGGCTATGCAACAGGTAGAATCCAGCGGCTAAAGTTGTATTTATATTCAGTCTGCCAGATCTGGCGGCAACTGGGCACACTTTATCAATTATTTTGCACTTGTACGAGCCAGTGTACCAGTTACTCAATGGCAGTGTATTTGTTTTATAAAAAGATTTGCTCGGGATATTCATCTTCTTGTGAAGCAGTTTTGTGGCTCTTCTTTCAATTCCTACACTTGATGTCTGCTCCCTTTTGTCCCAAACTAGTTGTGCTAACTTGAATTTAAAATCAACTTTAAACACTTTATAGTCTATACTACTTTAACAAGTGCGTACCAATTTATTTTCTCCAACACTGAAATATTGAGTTTAGATATCGTTTCAAAATCAACTTAAATGATGGAAGGATTCTTTAAATGGATGATCAGACAATATTTTTATCGATTAAGACTCAGAAAGAACATTGTCCAACACTTAAACAGGACATCATTGATCTTGCTGTTTCAGAATTTGCACCGAAGATATGAGCTATAAGTGAGAACCATGTTTTTTTTGACTTCGAGTCTTCTTGCTTTTTCAGATCCAGAATCCCATGCTATTGTATTCCGAGCCATGGTTTCCCAGTTGGGAAGATGCATAAAAGAAAAGAAATGTAGAATATGAAAACAAGTTTTTATTTATACAAGTGAAACGAGTGAGTACATTATAGGCATAACATGTGAGTTTTTTCAGTCACTCATATGTAACCTCCTATAATGGTTGATCACATAAATCACTTGTAGCAGTTGAGTGTATGTTTCACTTTTTATGTGGCTTGACTTGGCATTGTTGTTAAGATTAAAGTCGAGAATATATATATATATAAATGATTAATAGAAGTGGGAAATGAAGAAAAGCTGAGGCGAAGTCAAAAGTTTAAATTGGGCATTCGGAGGAGAAAATTGTGTTTGAATTTCCATGCCATCCTCACGAGTAGTCTCTTTCGCATTCTCTAGTTAACTATGTGAATGTAAAAACTACTACTACATTTCAGTTCCAAATAAATTAGAGTTTGCTATATGAATTTTCACTGACCATATTTCTCAATTTAAGGTCAATTTACATCATCGTATAAAAAAAGTTAAAAATAAGTTAAAAATGTACAAATGATAATAGCAACAATATTACAGGTCTCTATATTTCTAATGGCATATCAATCTATAAAAAAGTCAAAATACTCCTAGAAATCAATAGGTTGAAAATCATCGTACTAACAAAACTTATTTTGAACTATAGTTAATTATGTGAATGGAAAAAAAGAAGTTAAAGAGTTATATACATATTAATTAGTCATAAACTCCGTGACATTCTATTTGATGTGGAGAATGGAAATTATTCAATTATTATTCTGTAGTCGGAATTTTTTGAGTTTTTGCTAAATTTTTATCTGCAATTTGATTTGAAGTTTTGCAGTTTTAGTTTAGCAGGAAATTCAAAGAGGGTGGCTCCAAAGTTTAGAAATTTGCGCCATTTCAGCTAATGATGTGCTTTAGCAAATTTTTGTTAAAAATTAAAAACATTCAGATGCACGGGGCTTCATCTCATCTAGTGAAATTAAAAATAGTAGTAAGTGAAACTACGCCGTTTCAAGTGCAGAAAAAGCGCAAAATTCTGAACTTTGGAGCCACCCTTTTAAACTTCCCGCTAAACTAAAACTGCAAAACTTCAAATCAAATTGCAGATAAAAATTTAGCAAAAACTCAAAAATATTTGGCTGCTCTCTTCCCGGTTTTTTCTTCCCATTTTTCCTACTTCACTCCTCTCTTTTCACCCTTCACCATCTTCCAATTCTCATACATTTCCTCACTCCCAATTTTTTCTTCCTCCTTCTGACCCAAAAAAGAAAAAGAAAATCAAATGGGGGGCAAGCTTCAGTTTTTACCTCCAGCCAAAAGATTCATGCTAATGCAACAACAAGAACAACACATAGATAATGCCTCTGTTTCATTTTCACAACTTCCTGCTAAAAAACGAAAATTCTCTCCTGAAAAAACAACCTCCTTTTCCGATAGCACCAATGTTACTACTCTCTGCTTGCCAGCCAAAAAACGTGTTTGGGCTTTTCACCCATTTGACCTCAATGTTGAGTACAACCCAATTTCTTCTTTTGATGATGAGGCCAAAGAAGAAAAATTACCTAAAGAAACATTAATCAGTCAAGCTGACATCACTCTTCAACAAGATGACAACGGCGATGATGATAACGAAGACGGAATTATCTGTGCTATTTGTGAGAGCACAGATGGAGACCCAACAGATCCAATAGTTTTATGTGACGGCTGTGATTTAATGGTCCATACAACTTGCTATGGCCATCCTTTTACCAAGGGAATACCAGAAGGTGATTGGTTTTGTGCACAATGTTTGGCCTCAAAAACAGAGAGCCCAAAGCCCATTACTTGTTATCTCTGCCCCGAAACAAGTGGAGCCCTAAAACCCACTGTGAATGAGGGTAAATGGGCTCATGTTGTTTGTGCACTTTTTGTTCCTGAAGTTTTCTTTGTCGATCCAGAAGGTCGTGAAGGAATTGATTTCAGTAAAGTGCCAAAAAGAAGATGGGAGCAAAAGTGTTATATTTGTAAATCCAGAAATGGTTGTGCTATTGATTGTTCTGAGCCGAAATGTCCTTTGTCTTTTCATGTGACTTGTGGGTTGAAAAATGAACTCTGTATCGAGTACACAGAAGGAAAGAACAAGGGTGCTGTTGTTGCTGGTTTTTGCAGAAGCCACACTGAACTATGGAAAAAGGTTGAGTCTTTTTCCTTCTACCTTTGCTTGTTATCTTTTTTTCTTCTTCTTTCATTTAGCTTGCATATATTGATACTATGACAAGTAAAATGTCTGATTTTTCAGGTTATTTAATATTTCTTGTTACTAATCTTTCATTTTTATAGATGGCAAATTTTCTTATTTTCATATATATCTCTTTTTTTGAGAGTCATTTTTTTAGGTTACTAATCTCTTTATGTAGATTGTAAATTGCCATATTTTTCAGGTTATTAATTCATCTTATTTATAGACAGTTACTATTTATTAGTAGTTATAATTTAGATTATTTGATAGCTTAATTTTTTTATTTTTTTGCTTTGATAGTATATAAGTTAAACCCTTGGATTAATTATCTTTGGATTAGTTATTTTGGAATTGTTATTCCATCATCCCATTGAGATTAAAAAAAACACTATAATTTCAGGATTAGTTATATTGCGATTTTATCTTGCTTAAAATAAATTCGTTTCAAATTTAATTCCGTGATTAATTTTCCTTTATCCATTGTACCAAACGATCCCTTATTGTTTTTGTTGTGTTTAGTTTTCAACATTTAATTTTCGTGTTAACGGGTAAATTTTGGTGTGCAGCAACAACAAACTGGGAAGTTCAAGATTGTGCCAAGAGATGAAGTTGACCGATAAGATTATACATGTATGATGATTAAGCAGAATTGCAGATACAGACGATTGAGAATCCTACTTTTTAGAAGTGTATTAGTGGTAGACTAGTAGAGTAGTTGATAGACAGTAGTATTCTGTGATTGTTTAAATTTGTAAGCATTTTCTTTTATAGTTCATTAATTGAAGTCTTCCATTTTGTTTCCAACTTCATTGTTAAGTAGTACTTATTAAATGGCTAATTCATACCCGAGAAAATCTGAAAAGAGACTGTTATTTGACTCAATGAGAACTCTAATATTGTAGTACTCTACAAGATTGATGAAAGTCTTATTTGGATAAAGTCTCTATAAATTTCGATCATATCCAATCACAATAACAAATCTTATAAATGGGGTTACCATTGTAATCATCTACGTTTCACAAATATGCTCAATATGGCTTCAAGTTTGCGATTTTGGGTGTATTTCCAAATAGTTTTAGTTATATTATTTTCTGGATCATGTAATTGTAAAGAGAAATCAGCAATAGGAGATCCAGGGATGAAAAGGGATGATTTAAGAGTGGCAATAGAGGCTTGGAATCAATGCAATGAGGTACACGAAGAGGCTCCAAACATGGGAAGTCCAAGGCAAGCTGATTGTTTTGATGTCGAAAAATCTAAATCCAAAAGTAAGCCATTCTTCATTCCTAGTTTATTGACTTCGGTGGAAATAATAATAATTGATTTAATTAATAAAATTCGTTGAAGTAACAGTTTGTTGTTTGCACTAAAAGTTAAATTTTCCGTGATAATCATATGCTGATTCTGATTTACTAAATTGATTTTATGAAAAAGCTGAAAATAACTTAAAACATATAGGATTAAATATTTATTCTTCAATTTTTATAAACAATTAGTTTGTATCTTTATCAAAAGATGGTAAAAATTTATACATATTTGGTGTTTGCATCAAACCATACTGTCATGGTTAAGTGATAAATTAAGGTGAGCGTATTAATTAGTATGATTAAGTGATAATCATATTTGCGAAGATACGTGTCATATATTTGTTGGATTGATACAAATATTTTTTACCATCAAAAGACTTTTTTAAAACTAGAATTAGTGTTATGCTCGTTTTGTATACCATGTGACTCCGAATTTAGTACTCCACAACCTTGCTAAGAAAGGAGTCAATTACTTAAAAAAATATAGGCTTGTATTCGGTTCCTTTATCCACTACATTGTTTAAACAATAATAACAACAAACTCAATATAATTTCACAATTGGATAGTGTGTATGCAAACCTTACTCTATCTTGTGATGGTAGAGCTGTTTCCGATAGACACTCGGCGCTCAAGGACAACATAGTACCACTATATTGTTGTAAAGAGATTATATACACTTACTAAAACCTCTTATCTTTCGTTGTCTATGGCAAGTTATCATGCTTTTGTTTCTGTTTAAAGTCATCAACTTTCTCCCAAAAGAAGAGAAAATATAATAACCATAAAAATATGCTTTTGCAGTGAAACTGGTTCACTTGGTGAACGATTATGATAACAAGCTGAGCATAAACGATGCCAAAAATCTAGGACTACAGAAACTGGACGTGAATAAATATGCAGCCTGGAAAGAATTGTTCTTGGGATCCAAATGCCAAGTTCAAGATGATCCAAACCCATGGAATTTCTGGATGATTATGCTCAAGAGTGGTAACATGGACACTACAGCTGCTATTTGTCCCAAAAATGGCAAACCATCTCAACCATTTCCACCCGAGTCGCGATTTCCATGTTTTGGCAAAGGTTGCATGAACATGCCTAAGATATACCATAACTACACCACATTACATAGCCATAAGCACTATCTAAAGAAGTATAAATTGAAGGGAAGTTTTCATGGGACATGGGATTTGGATGCTGATATTTGCAAGGCAGAAACTCAAAATGATACTTCCTTTTTCTCAGTTACTTGGCATAAGCAACTTGGAAAAGGAAGCTGGAAGTTTCATCATATCTTGAAAACTTCATCAAAGTACCCTTGGTTGATGCTTTATTTGAGGTCAGATGCTACCACTGGAGTTTCTGGTGGATATCATTATGAAACAAGAGGCATGTCAAAAATAGTAGGTTTCTCTTCCAAATCTTTGCATATTTGATATTCTTGAGATTTTCATTAGTATTATACTCTTGTTATACAATGTCTTGAAAGACCTTCAGTAATATAGCATACAATGAAAAAGATCAATATAGGCGATACCACATAGTTGAGTTTAAGTTTTAGTCATGTTAGTACGCTTACTTTAGGTACAATATGCTTAAAGATTTTCGACTTGTCAGACATTTATATGCCAATAGAAAATATAGAAGCAGTGACTGGAATTGAGGCATAATTGTTGTTGTTGCTATTGTTCTATTCTTGTTATACATTCTTATATATTCTGTTTGCTGATATGGAATTAGGTTCCAAAGTCACCAAATTTCAAAGTGAAGTTCAGTTTGGATGTGAAAAGAGGAGGTGGTCCAAGTAGCCAATTTTATCTAATGGACATAGGCAGCTGCTGGAAGAACAATGGGCAGCCTTGTGATGGGGATGTTACCACAGACGTAACGCGATACAGTGAAATGATCATTAATCCTGATACTGAAGCATGGTGCAACCCCACAAATAATCTGAGGCTGTGTCCACCTTACCATACTTTTGCAAATGGAACACGCGTTCATCGGACTGATAAGGCAAGATTTCCTTATGGTGCTTATCATGTGTATTGCTCCCCAGGGAATGGGAAGTATCTTGAGGAACCATTCAACTATTGTGATGAATACAGTAATCCTCAAGCTCAGGAAATACTACAAATTCTGCCTCACCCTGTCTGGGGAGAATATGGATATCCAACTAAGAAAGGGGAAGGATGGATAGGAGATCCAAGAATTTGGGAACTTGATGTTGGCAGACTCTCACAATCACTTTACTTCTATCAGGTACTATATTTTTGGAGCAAAATATAAGTATTAAACCCCTTATACAGGATGAATCATTTCATAACTTTATATTTTCTTGGTTAATGGTTATATTGCAGGATCCTGGCACAAAACCTGTTGAAAGGCATTGGCCATCTGTTGATTTGGGTACTGAGATATATGTTAGTGGGAATCAAGTTGCGGAGTGGATCGTTAGCGACTTTGATATTATTGTGACAGATGAATAGTTTCACTTTTGGTTAGGAATAGTGTGTAGTTTTTTTGCTTGTTTCACTTAGAACTTTAGTACAACTCTGAAGGATTCAACATTCTATTGTTTATGTTTATATCAACCAGTTAAGGCATATGGATAAGTGTGCTTGCTAAATCATCTATGAAGAAATTAACGCATTACAGTAATGGGAAGGTCAGACTAAACTTGCTTGAATGCTTAGTGAAGAAGGGGCCATTACATTTCAATTATTGTAGTCAAAGTAATTTTTTTTTTTAAACCCCTCCCAAATTAAGAGGATCTACGGTGTTTCCACACTTCCCCTCCAGGGTGACTCGAACCCAGGATCTAACGGTCGTGGGTGGAATAACGGTCGTGGGTGAAAGTGCTTTTACCAAGTGAGATTACTATCATTCTATGAAGGAAATGTGTCAAAATCTTTAAACAGTAAAAATCAAACACTTGAATGACTAAGTGGACCATGATGAACGTCACAGTTCTTAAGCCTTCAGACGGTCATGAGACATAAAATATAGTACTACCTTTAAAATAAATTGTCTTAGTTTGACATGGTACAAAGGGAAGACTTTGAGATATGTGGTCTTAAATAAGTCATAACATTTAAAACTTTTCAAACTTGTGGTCTAACACCTGTAATCGCATTAGTGTGGCAATAAATACTGCTTTGGTGAAAGGCTGCATGAACATGCTACTGATATATCATAACTATACAAGTGTGGAAGACTTCCCAAACTAAGTGGTAGTAGTTTCTATGGAATATGGGAGTCATGTCAATTAGGCAGAAGTAGATACTAATACATCATATACGAAGAATCGTTAGTTCTTTCATCTCAGAAATACCCATGGATTATGCTATACCTAAGATTGGATACAGTGATTGGATTATCATTAACAGAATAGGGAAATGATTAAAAGTGGAAGTCCAGGAAGTAGAATATTTCATGTTGGGAGGCTAGAGTAATAGCATGAAGATTCCTGGTTCGAATCCTGGCTACAGTGCTCAGCGTGAGCTAATCCGTTCCAACTTTGATGGCAGATTTACCCGGTAACTGTGCTTGTCGTCTATACATAGTATGCTGCCCGAAATAATGGCCGAGTAACTGGCATATAATAGTAAGATGAAGATGTCAGGTCCTAATCCTAGCTACTGTAATCACATTTATTCCAACTTTGGTGGATAGGTTTACCCAATAATTGTGATCATAGGCTGTAGAGTGTAGAATATTGTGCTCAGTTTCTCTCCATAGTTGCGCGATAATGCAGGCTTCTGATGGTCCACCAGTCAAGAATTATTGGCCATCCGTCGTTTTAGGTATAGTCATTTTCATTATTTCTAACTTGCTCTCTATTGATGCTTAAGATCTTTATCAATATACGCAGGAAATAAGAAGAGTTGTGCACATCAAAGTGAAGGTCTGTCAGAGGAACTACTTTTTTCCTTCATTAATATCAATGATGCAGTACCTATATATATATATACAGGGCCATAAATACTAACTCAGCAGGGTACACACTAAGCTAAAGAATGCCTATTTAGAGACCCTGACTAATGCCATAATCAATGATTCTTATCTACTGCGTAACAGATTGCTCTTCAAATCTCCCGTGCTGCTTTAATTGAGGAAAATGCACACACCTTCAACTGTCTCAACTACTAGATGGATGTTGTCACTTGATTCAAAGACCATAAAAGATAATCTGCTAGGTTAGACCATACTGAACGGTGCTAACCTCTCTGTGAGCAGCAACAGCAACAGCTGCAGCCCCGACTGCCCCAAACTGTGTTTGTGCCTGTAGTAGTTTTGCATCTATGGCAAGATGACCTCCTAACTGTGCTACCTTGGCCTGTGTATGGTAGTACGGGTTGGTGTTCATATCGATACTCATGCTAGCCGTCGACTTGGCAACCATGCACTGCCCAGGTTGCGGCTTAACTTGAGAGTGGTCCTTCTCTGCTTCGGTTCCATACTTCTCTAGATTTGCAGAATTACTTCTGAACAAATAATGAGGAGAAATGCCATGCGGTGGGAGGACAGGGTTCTGGGAATATACTCTTCCATCAGCAACTTCTT